CAACACCTATAGCCAGAGTCCTTGACCCATGGAACCAAACGTTGGTCAGGTTTGACAAGAAGTTGAGGCAGGCAGCCCCCAGGGCAGGTGGAGGGAACTCATTCACCTGCATGGGAGGGGGAAGGGAGGCATGCAGCATGGGGGGGGGGATTGTTAACCTCTCCAAACCATAGCAATTAACCCCAGATTCTTTGTCCAGTGTTTGAAATCTTATTGGGGTACATCTGCCCCCTACAACTGTGGCTGACAGCCTTGCTACATTATAACAACAAGGCTGTACAGCCCAGCCACCCAGCCACACAAACACTCTACCCAGCATCGTCATGCTTGGGGCCAAGGCTGACTCCTTTTCATGAAATGTTTAAGGCAGCGAGTAGAGGTTATTTGTCTTATTCCTTTTAGGAAAATATACCCCTATGCTTATGGAGCTATCTCTAAAGTCCTGTAAGTGATCTCGGTATCAAAGTCAAAGTACTCATGATTTGAGTCTGTCCCTTATCGTCAGTGTCAGTCTAAGTCAGGACAAAAACACAATAACACATAGACACACAGGACAATGAACAGGACAATGGTGCTAAACCAAACCAAAAATGAGAGCCTCAAGCTGTTCTGTGGGTGCAATCCACCTGTCTGTTGAACTGAGACCGCTACCTGCATGTTTCACCTCTGCAGAAGGACCCTGGGGGCATCTCCTCAAGGCACCCCACCTGTGATCTTTTTGGGTGTCTGCCTACATAGTCTACAGGCTCTTATGGTTCCTGGGCCTGCTTACAGAAAGATATGAGACATGAGACACAGACATGGGACACGAAACAAAACACAGAAAATTTACTGGCCAGTTGAAGGCTCTACAGGTAGTAGTCCCAGTGGGCTTGGGGATCCCAGACGAGCCCCCAAATGTTATGCCCAAATCCGCGAAATCCCCCAAAAGCCAACAAGAAGACTGAGTCCCATATGTAAAAGCAAAGAGCCTTTATTTTATGCAAGTTTGCAAACTCAGTCTCTCTGCATGTCCAGAGTATTGGAATAAGCAGAGAACTCTGAGCTTGGTTAGAGTTGGTTTTTATAGTAGTAAAGGTAGGGGTGAAGGGTTTCTGAGGTTCAGGACCCCTGATTGGCTGACATTTGTCAAGGGGTGTCCTGGTGAGTGTGTGCTGACAGGTGATCCTATCTTCAAGGTTGGAACAGTAGGCATTTTCTTTGGATGGTCTGTTCTTGGGTGGTGCTTGGGTAATCTTAGTTTATGGTCCTTCCTGCAACCAGGTATTGCTTCAGGGTAAACTACTGAGACTCAGGCCTCCATTAAACTTATCAATGGCTGAGTTCTACTCTGGCAGATGATAATGGTTGGAAATAAAGAACTTCCTTTGGGTGATCTGTTCCTATTTTGCTTATCATGGTTGGCTCCTACTGTATGAGTCTCGTTTCCATGTGATAATTGCATTTTGAAATGACTGCCTTTGGTTTTCATCATGTTACTACAGTATGTGACACGTGTATTTGAGGGGAGACTGTTTAGACAAATATTCTTTGCCAGGTGGTCGGGAGGCAGAGGTAGGCAAATCGCTGTGAGTTCGAGTCCAGCCTGGTCTACAAGAGCTAGTTCCAGGACAGGCTCCAAAGCTACAGAGAAACCCTGTCTCAAAGAAAAAAAATCTTAGTTACAGTTATGTCTTCGTTGTTGGACATGCTTGAAGCTTGTATCATTTTTTTTTTTTTTTGAGACAGGGTTTCTCTGTGTAACAATCCTGTCTGTCTTGGAACTCTCTTTGTAGATCAGGCTGGCCTCAAAGTCACTGAGATCTGCCTGCCTCTGCCTCTGAGTACTGGGATTAAAGGCATGTACTGCCACAATCCAGGGAGCTTGTATAATTTAAAAGATCTCAGTTTAGCTGGGTGGTGGTGGTGCATGCCTTTAATCCCAGCACTCGGAGGCAGAGGCAGGCGGATTTCTGCAAGTTCGAGGCCACCCTGGTCTACAAGACCTAGTTCTAGGACAGGCTTCAAAGCAACACAGAAATCCTGACTCACAAAAACAAACAAAAAAGATCTCAGTTTAATATTAATTACAGTTCCATGCTTTGGGTTTTGATTGTTTAATTGTCCTATTTATTTAACTATGAGATATTTGGTTACCTAAATGTATTTTTGAATATTCTAGGATCTGGGTATGGTTGTGCACCCCTTTACTCTCAGTACTTGAAGGCAGAGACAGGGGGATCTCTATGAGTTTGATGCCAGCCTGGTCTACAAGAGCTAGTTCCAGGCCAGCCAGGGCAATACAGATCCTGAATTAAAAAATATTTTAGGGATATGTGTCTGTGTGATTTTGCTTTATGGCAGTTTTACATTATATTATTTTAACTTATTCTTAGAAGATGTTTGGTATTTTACCAAGCTTTTTTTTCCTGTGGGACAAGATTTTTTTGAATGGTTTTGAAATAATATAATTTTGAAACAAAGTATATGGGGAGAATCATACCCGGAGTCTAGTTTCCATTAAAATGTGTATTTAAACAAATGATTCAGACCAGCATTGGGCCCAAAGGAAGAGCTCAGAGAATACAGGTACTTTGATCTATCTGATAAGGAAATTCTGATTTTATGAAGCTGTCTCTCAACAGTGTTAAGAATTTCAACATGATGTTGAAGGCCACTATGTATTTTTTTTAAAAATGTAATCAATTTATTGTATTCTAGATTTACTTTAATTTCTAAATTGATTTAAAATAAGTAGTACGAGTTGAAGTCTGTCTAAAATAACAGAAGGCAAACTAGTAATTGCTGTTTATAGTAGAACAATGAATGATTTCTTTTGTAGGTCAAATAATTGTCAAGAGAAGGCGATTCCTATTAGATTCTCAGTGTATACCTTTTGTAGTATGTAGATAATGTGCTTATTTTGCAAAGGTTATCAGATAAAGCTGATTTCTGGGGGGAGAGAGGGTATAAAAGGTGTTAAAATGTCTGATTCCAGAGTAAAATAACAGATGGTGATATCTCTCATCACTTTCCCTGATATAACTCCTTTGTGTAGTAAATTGATGAGTGAAAGACATTGTCAAAACATATCATAGGTTATTTCTTTAAGAAACTTCAGGCTGGCTGAGTGGTTGTGGCACAGACCTTTAATCCCAACAGTTGGGAGGCAGAAGCAGGTCAGTGGCTGTGAGCTTGAGACCAGCCTGGTCTATAAAGTGAGTTCCAGGACAGATAAAGATACATTGAGAAAAACCTATCTTGAAAAACCAAGAACAAAAAAGGAAACTTCAGACTTAATGTCTTGGGAGATGCCTCAGCAGTTAAGAGTACTTGCTGCTGTTGCAGAGAACCTGGTTCTCATCTGGGCATCCACATGGCAGTTCAGAATCACCTTTCATTCTAGTTCCGGGGAATTGAATGCCCTTTCTGACCTCCATGGGCATCAGGCATGTACATGGTACACAGATATACATTCAAGCAAAACACCACCTGTATGAAACAAAATCAATATAAAAATGTAAAGAAATGCATAGTTTCTAAAATAACCTGAAAAGGTCAGGGTTTTATTCCCCCTTGAAAAGAGCTGTGTTAACAGCAGGAGAGCTGGCTCAGAGGTTAAGAGTGCCGCCAGCAGTGCCCGAGGTCCCGAGTTCGATTCCCATCCCTGTGTGTGTCTGTGTGTGAATGTAAGACATGCATGCATAATTAATTGGGAAAAAAGAAAAGAGGTGTGTTTTGGCTGCTTAGGCAAATTTGCATAGGTCTACCATTGAAAGCATTATTTTTTTTTTAAATTTCTCTGCTTTTCATTTCATTGATAGGTGTTTTGAAAATGAGTTATAGAAATGAAAGACACTGGTCTCATTCTAAAACAGCAGTACATGTAACAGAACCTGTTTTAAATGTTATCTCTATGTATATAGGTAGGGGTTATGTGTATATAGAATTTTTGAGTCTAGAGCATAGACTGTATAAAGACTACAAACCCATATTCTTGCTATTGCTTAATTATGTTCTTAGTTTAGGGAGTTAATAGCTACACTATGATAGAGCTGTGGTTACTGTGAGAAACACAATGATATTTGTATCTGGTATATTTTATTGTTTTCCTCTGTTAGAAAAAGGGAGTGCACATGCAAAAAAAAGATGAATGATTTGCTGAGATAATTGGCACTTGCAGTTGTCCTATTGATGCTGTGATGGGGAATATTTTAGTTTTATATTTTAGATAGGAAAGTAGAAAATTTTAAGTATATAAGCTGATAATGCATCCATTCTATCAAAATGTTTAACTTCCATGAAAGAGGGGAAAAGATTTTATATACAGAAAAGACACAAGTCTCCTAACATTCATTCTTTTGCCTGGTTATAGCAGCTGGTGGAAATGTGCAAGACTGAATTACTATTGCTTGAACACCTCAGGATAGGATGGTATCAACCCAGAGGAAATGTATAAGAAAATGACAGAAAAATCAAAGGAGAGAAAGGCTTCATTGGAAACCAGAGAAAAGGAACAAGTTATAAATGATTTGAGAAAGAGGGCTTAGCAATGAAGGGGCACATTTTTTGAAAGCAGTGACCACAACAGAAGACTATTAACTCTTATAATCCCCAAAAGGACAAGCAGCAAAGTAGATGGGTTACTTAGCTCTATTGTGTGCCAATAAAACTAGGTGAACTGAGGGCAGGGTAGTGTTCTTACTGTAAAGTTTCTTCTCAATTTGAGCTTTTCTGTCATCTTCCAGGGGATCTGTGTTCCCTGACAGCTTAGTGTAGATCGCATGATCTTCAATTCCTATCTCTAATATTGATGTCAAGTAATCAAATAACTTTTCCCAATAATACTTATGAAGTCTTTTCTTTTTTATGCCCGTATCCTAGTAAAAATATATTGTACACATAAGCATTTCAGCCTTTACTATGTAATAGGTCTTAATATCAGTGTTACTATGTGTATTAGTTATATTTTACTTTGAAGCTCTAATTTAGACTAAAACTTGTACTGTTTTTTTTTTTAGGACAGCCAGTAGAGGGGACTTCATGTTTTCTGCGGATCGTTTGGTAGGTGGAGACTTTCCATTTCATTTCATTGTTATATGCAGTGATATAATTCTGGCAGGCCAGGGGGCTTTTCGTTGTAGACCATTTTTTCTGGGGTTGAGAGAGATTGCCCTGAACAACCATCGTCTTGTGAGGCTTCTGAAGTATCCTTTCCATTATAGCATTAAAGTGCTGCCTCACTCCCTTTTACTCCAAAACATTGCCTATGTACCCATTCCTTGTCATTCTTAGATGGATCTTGTCAGCCTGGTTCTCAGCAACTCATAAAATGCCTTATCTTAGGGCCATGAACTGTAGCACATTAGAAAAAAACTGTGTTCTGAGACCTAGCATTCACCCTGTGTATGAGCTAATGTGCAGAAACTAGTTTATTTTCTTTTGTAGTTTACAATGTTAATTGTATTTGTTTTGCTTCTGCCATGTGATATATTGAACATATATGTGCATACCCCTTCTTCAAGGGCATCCTGTTAAGTCCTGAGCAAACCCAGTGCATACCCCTTCTTCAAGGGCATCCTGTTAAGTCCTGAGCAAACCCAGTCCCCACATAGTCAGTGTCATCTCAGATGATCTCTTTGCCACAGCTTTCTGTTCTTATGTTGATACCTAAGTGTGCTCCATTCTTGGAGTGAAATTGCTAAGTAGTTGCTAAGACTAATACTCTACATTAATGAAAATAAACATTGAGTACATATTAGGCTTTGCACTAGACTATTTTGGGAGAGAGGAGATAAGACAGTTAAGGATATATAGATATGGTCTCTGCTCTTGTCAGTACTTAGCTTAAAAAAGAAATGTGGCTTATGAACCTTGTAGGTATAATCAAATCATAGAAAATAGAAAAGGAAGTGTGAAAAAAGGCATACAACTTTTAATTTTGATTTTTTTCTAGAGCACATATATGCTAAAAGAGTGTAGGCTTTTCCTCTTCTGCTTTTGGCTTTAAATATTCTTGATTGAGAGACCCAATTCTATTTAAACTTACTTTGGTTTCCATGGATAGTAATAACTGATGTTAGCAACAAGGGAAATATGGTTGACATTCCTGGGACAGAAACCATTGTCTTTAATGTTTTCTTCTGTGTGTGCATGTGTTGTTTGTGGAGGTGCAAGTGTGTGCATGTGTGGAGGCCAGAGATCAGTCTTGGTTGCTTCTCAGGAACCATCTTCCTCATCTTTTTTTTTCCAGATAAGGTTTTGTACTGGGATTTGGGGCTTGCCAGTTAGGCTAGGCTGACTGGCCATAAGCCCTCCAGAGATCCTCATGTCACTAGGTTATAAAGCATATGTTACCACTTCGCTTTTTTATATGCCTTCTAGAGATTGAACCTTGGTCTTTGTTTACAAGGACCAATTGAGCCATCTCTTCAGCCTTTTTTTATGTTTTCAGCAAAACCCAACCAAGTGAACAAAAAAAAAAAAGCCATTTTTGAGGTGTTAGGAACTTCCAACTTAATGACTGCTGAGCAAAGAATAGGAGTCTCTGTTCTCTGGGATAAAATTATTCATCTTTCTTTTGTTTCTCTTGTGCCCTCTCTCTTTTTTCTTTTTGAGACAATCTCTTTTTTTTCCATAATTATCTCAAAATCCTGGGCTCAAGCATTCCTTCTGCCTCAGCTTCCCAAGTAGCTGGGACTACAAACCTAATGACAGGTGCATATGTTCCTTTTTGTTATAGAAAGTAGGAGTCAAATTCATGGCTGTTCTAAAATGCTTCTCTGAAATAGCAGGCATTATATTCTAGCCAAGCAAGAGAGGTGGCATACTTCACCTAGGACATGGTAACTTGGATTTCTCCATTCTTTGTAGTTGGCTTTGAAGGACCAGTGATGGGGTGAGGTTGAGAAGAATCTGTTATGGTTATGGTAGCAACTATAGCTGTTTATCTTTTTATTGTTGAGGATTTCTAATACACTATCTCCTCAACACAAGGGTGATATCCCTGATAGTGGACAAGTGATCTTATCCTGAGTTGTTTCCTGTAGTTCTTTACATTTTAATTATTTTGGGGAGAGAACGGTGAAGATTTAACTGGGGGCCTTGAGTGTATTAAACACATGCTGTACACCCCAGCCTTTAAAAGGATTTGAGTCATTCTTCTTGTAGTTTTATGCTCTCCTCTTACTTAGACACACCTATCTCCATACTTTTGTTTATGCATTTTTATTTCTTCTTTGAAAATTTCATATATGTATACAATGAACTTTGATCATATTCCACCCCTCATTCTGCCTTCAACTCCTCTCAGACTCTCCCAGCCAACTTCTTGCTCTCTTTCTTTTCATAGCCCGCTGAGTTTAGTTTATGCTGCCCACATGCCCCTGGGTGTGAGGCCACCCTCTGGAGTATGATCAATTTTTCAGGGGGGCCACACTTCTAAAGAAAACTGACTCTCCCTCCTTCAGAAGCCATCAACTGTCAATAGCTCCTCAGTTAGAGGTGGGGCCTTGTGAGCTCCTCCCCCGTGTATGTGCAATGTTGTTTGGCTTGATCTTGTGCCTGTTGTGTGTAAGTAAACACAACTGCGGTGAGTGTGCAACAGCCCTGCCATGTCCAGAAAACATTTCACAGCAGTCCTCTCCAAACTCTGGCCCCTGCAGACACGATCACTTCTGTCCCAGAGTTTCAGGAACAAGGCTCATTTGAGGCATGTCACCAGAGGAAAGAGAAATGTACATTTCAAAGAAAAAAAAAACCCTTCTCTGCAATTTTCTCCTAAATAAACCTAAGTAGCCAAGGAAGGTGGTAGCTAGCAGCGAGTGTGCTCTTGCATACACTATTCAAAAGCTTTCTGGGCCATTCTCTGATTCTGCAGGGGGACAAAGTGATGGGCCATTTCCAATTGATCCCTTTAATGACAGCAGGGTGATGTGTTGTGATAACAGAGAATGAAGCATCGTACTTCTCCCTGCTGTTCCTGATTCTCAATCATTAATGTACTATTGATTGGAGAAAATGTGCACTACGGCTCGGTACTGGCTTTGTTATAGTGGGCTCTGGTTGCTCATGTCTCGCTGTGAGCGACTGTTTCTAGTAATTTTGAGGGATTCTTCCTTTCTACTTCATAGTTGCTATGCAACTCATAAAACTTTGTTTAAAATTTTTTTTAAGTATTTATTTACTTGTGTGTGCATGTCTGTGTGTGTGTGCACACACCTGCTCATGCCATTGTGGATGCATGTGGAAGTCGTAGTACAACTTCTGGGAGTCAGTTCTATCCTTCTGCCTGTTTATCTGCCATCTAATTAGCCTTCATAGTACTTTTCTTTAACTGAGAAGTCCCGGGATAGTCTACTGGGTCCTCCTTCAGATCCAGTAAATTGCTTCAGTCTATCTATTCATTCATTTTTTCACAAGGACTTTTCGATATAGTTTACATTATGGTGTACCTTTGTTAGAAATGAATCTAGGTTCATTTTTAAATTGCAAAGATTTCAAAGGTACTAAGCAAGGTAGAGAATCCTAGGTGGACACTTTTCACAGGACCCCATAATTTTATTACTACCAATGGTGTTTTTGCCACAACTCTTATTGAAGTTTCGTGCCTCTCATATTCTTGTCTACTCAGAAGGCACATAGAAGCCCTTTGGTGATAGTCAATGTGCTACAATAGAGGTTGGGTACTTACCAAAAAGCAGCCTGACATTTAAATGTGTCCCTGTAGTTAAGCCATGGTAGGGGCCTCCTTCCTTCCTCTATGACCTAAGCCCTCAGCTCCCAAGGCTAGCAGCTAGCAAGAGACTCTGAGGCCCTCAATTTATTTTTTCTTTGACTTTCTAGATCAGACTTGTTGTAGAAGAGGGACTGAATCAGCTGCCATATAAAGAATGCATGGTGACCACGCCAACAGGTAACAAAGACTTGTGCTCTCAACTTTTCCTCATAAAAATCCTGAACTAGAGTTGGGGAAGGAAAATGGAAAGAAGGCATTCTGTGTAAAATCAGTGTGAAAAATGAGTTTAGGTAGAGCTGTTTTTTTTAAACATCTTTAAAAACTAAGAGACTTTTGTAAAGAAATATATGTACGTGACTTTTTGTTAATGCCTTGCTTGTCAATTCAAGTTAAAGGTTATTACATAGTCATGTAGCATTCAGGTGTTGCTTCTGATGGCAGCCCACAGGGACCAAAGTTGAGAATTGCTGGCAGCTTATCTTCACCTCTGTGGGGAAGCCACTGGCGCTAACAAATGCAAGAGACTGGTTTGGCATAGAAACTACAGGTTTAAAAAGAAGATGAGATGTGGAAAAGGGAAAGAAAAGTCAAAATGATAAGATTTGGAGTAGGTGCTTTGCTCTAATAAGAATAGCCTACAATCCCCCTTTCAGAGATTGGAAATTCTGATTTGTTTTTTTTTTTTTCATAACTGATGGAAAACTCTACTATTCAAAGGGTTGGCTATGAACAATTGAGGGCTGAGTTTGTTGCATCATAATTGACACAGTTCAGAATGAGACCAAGTTTTGAGTAGCTTAATAACTATTTCAGCCTCTTTCTTCTGCTTTTTAAGGCAGAATGAAGGATCATAAGAAGGGATGGAATGAGGCGGCTTTCTGCTGTGACTCACAGTGGGGCTCCAGTGTGAATTGATGGGGTATCTAGTATTCATGGACTGCAGTGAGTCTCCTTTGAATTCAATTTGGAGGATGTGTATGGGAATATTGTGCTATAATAAGTCCAATTCCCACTTGAGGAAAACCTCCTCTCCCAATTATTCTCACAGGTTTCTTCTGAGGAATTAAGAAATAACTATGAAAGATCATGACTCACTACTTTCACAGGAAATCGAAGGTGCTATACGTTGTGTCTGGGTTGCTTTGTACTCACCTGCTTTGAGCCACGAGTACCTTATAGAATATGTACATGTCTCTAATGATAAAGCATCTCTTTTTTTTATTTTTATTTCCCAACAGGGCACAAGTATGAAGGAGTGAAATTTGAGAAAGGAAATTGTGGGGTCAGCATCATGAGGAGCGGTAGGTTTGCGTGTGTACGATTTTGTTTCTTTGCATGCATGGAAACGGTTGCTGTTTTCCAGGAGAGGCGGGCTGGCTTGTCATAATTGCATGCTGCCTTTGCTTAATTCTCACCACCTGTGTTGCCTAGCCTCATGGTGCCTTGGAGTCATGGCCTATGTGCTGCTAAGTTTGGTTAATTGTAATTGCAGGCCTCATCCCTAGTGGCCTGCTCCCACGAGCAAGGCAGCTTTTAAAATGCCTCAAAGGAGGGCGGGAGGATAGCAGGATGGGAGAATGGTTTGCAGACTGAAGGAATGTGGCATAAATTAAATTCTTTCTGAAGAAGAACATTTGGAGAGCTGGCTGGAGAAGATGCTGCCTCTGCTTTTATCTGTGTTGCAGGGAACTCTGCCAAAAGCTGGACTGATTTCATATTGTAAATTTTATATTCTTTGTATATGTGACTGCATAGGCAAAAAGCACGTAGCTGTCATTAGCTCTAGCTATTTCCACTTGCTGATCTTATACAGTCTGTATTGGTGCTTTGAGTCCAACTGATCATCTTAACTAGCAACTTTTGTGCAACAAAATGGCATGCCTGTGATGAGAATGTGTGCCTGCTATACAGGAATGATTGCTCCTCAGCAAACAACTTTTTTTTTTCCAAGAGCTGGAAGCCTCACTTTTTGCACTGAAAACAGACGGACTTTAAAAACATATAAACCTTCATTTTTCTCTTGCTCTTGTTGTGTTTGTGAACACTTGAACACCTCAATTACAAAAGGCGCTTAAGGCTCTGTTCCTACAGGAAGACAGCTCTTAAGCAGTGAAAACATTCTCAGAATAGTGTTGTTCAGCATCTGAAGTTGTTGAACACCTGGATATGGTTTCTTCTCAGCTCTGAAAGTACCAACTTCTCTGAGAATACCACCTTGGTCCTTGCACCTCTGATGTTTTTCTGTTGGCTTAGCGGTTGCCCATGAATCTACTGAGACGCTGCCCCATGGGCCCTCAGTCAGTGCTCCACCAGGTACTCAAGACTTCGCCTGATGGGGCTTCTGGTCCCACAGCCTTGCTGAACTAAGTAATGGATCCTGGCCACTTATATCTAAAAGGAAAGCCTATGGCCTATAGCCCCCATTTTTTCATGAATCTTTTATATTTTTCTCAGAGGAAAGTAACAAATTTAATTGGCTTAAAATCATCTTTAAAAATAATGAGTAAAAGTATCTCTGGTATAGAAGAAGCTCAAGGAACAACCCAGTCAACCTTTCATTTCCATCATCATGGAAGCAGAACAGCTCCATACCTTGTAAGCAAGCAATAAGTCTAGCTCACTGTGGTTTCTTTGACAAGCCTTTCATCTGCTTTCATTGAGTTCCCACTAAGAATAAAATATGAGCTCAGTAGAAGAGAAAGAAGAATGCTTCTGCCTTAATAGTGCTCTTTTTGTATTAATAGCAGTGAGAAACTCGACTTTGGCCTGTTCTTGGATTTGCACGCTATCTGCTGCATCTCTTTTGTCCCTGATTCCTTTTCATTTCCTTCTTCAAGGTGAGGCAATGGAACAAGGTTTACGTGACTGCTGTCGATCCATACGAATTGGGAAGATCCTGATTCAGAGCGATGAGGAGACACAAAGGGCCAAAGTGTACTATGCCAAGTTCCCCCCAGACATACATCGCAGAAAAGTCCTTCTGATGTATCCAATTCTCAGTGAGTGGCTTGAGTTGCATTTGTAATTTTTTGTTAGAGTTTTAAATTCAAGTTAGTGTCTACCTCCTACGCACACTTATATAAAAGGCAAAAACAGTTTCTAAATGTGTTTTTCTCTGTTGGATTTGGAGTTGCCCTGGGCAGTTCACTGGGAATTTTTTATTGTGTAATAAGGGAATATACATTAGTCAAACTTTGTTAGCTCCAAAGAACATCTGTTTTGAAATGAACACATTGAAGCAAAGGACCTAATGAAGTAAAATATATAGAACCCAGAAAATATATCGAAACATGTCCTGTCTCTACCCTAATGATCATGGTACTGATTTTCTCAAGGTTTTATCCTCTCTACAGGTAATTTTTCTGGTATTCTGTTCTCACCTCTCTACTTGCTCATACCATGGTCTCCCAGGGAGGTGAGCAGGGGTGTTAAATTTTGTATCTCAAGAAGTAAGTGAGTTTAGGGCTTGTTGTACATTTAATTCCTGTTTCTGTTGTACCTATCATTAAAAATAACATTGACAAAGAACAGTCAGTCACTTTCAAATGAAGTGTTCACGAGTCAAGTCTTATGTTAAGATTCCTGCCTTGACCTTACTCTCAGAACATGTCAGTTTAGGTGTTAACGTTGCTAATGGGTTTCGTTGCCTTTTTGTTTTAGGCACTGGCAATACTGTAATTGAAGCTGTAAAGGTTCTAATAGAACATGGAGTTCAACCCAGTGTTATTATCCTACTCAGTCTCTTCTCCACTCCCCATGGTGAGTTGAACTTGCAGCTCCAGATAATCATGAGATAGTGTGTATCTCTCTAGCCTCTCATCCCAAGGCAAATTATGGTTGTCAGTCCATATTAAATTTAAATCTAGTTTTGCTAGTTATGACTTGTGTTTGTCATCTCTAATCTCAGTGATAATATAAAACAATTCTTTGGACAAGGTGTTGCACACTGGTCTTGAACTCCTAGACTCAGGTGATCCTTTTGTCTCATCTTCCTAAGCAACCAAGACCACGGATATAGATAAGCATGCCTGGCTTGTTTTACACTATCCTGATGTTTAATATCTTATTCCATTATTTTATACATGTATATGTTTGTGTACCTCAGAAGCCAGAAAAGGGTGTTGCATCCCCTGGAACTGGAATTACAGATGGTTGTGACTTGCCATGTGGGTGATGGGACTCAAACCTAGGTTCCCTGGTAGAGCAGCTGGTGCTCTTAACCACTGATCTATCTAGTCATTCTGATGTTTAAATTCAAATGGGAACATATTAATTACTTCATTGAAAATAACTGCAGTTATTTTCCCAAGTCCTATTTGACTAGGGCCTACAAATGGCTGAAAGGTCCCAAGTTTCAATGGTTTTCCCCCTGAGCTTGAGAACAGCTCTCGAATAACAAGGAACTTATGGTGTTATTGAAGTAATCTTTGCAATGTGATGTGAATATCAGCTGTTTTTTTGAATTAGATGTCTGTTTTAAGTAGGTGTGAGGAAGTCATCTATTTCCCATTTCCTTTAAGAGATATAGCTAAATTAAGACTCTGCCTTTCTTACCAAACAATCTTGGGCAATTAGGAATACATAGTATGAAAATAATCATACAGGCATTAAGAATTTAGTTTCTAGGGTCTTCATTATGGAGTTGATTAGTATAAGAAATAATTTGAAAGTGTGTAAATGATGACTGGGAATGGTGACACATGGTTGTAATCCCAGCACTTGGGAGGCAAAGACAAGAGGATCAGTGCAAGTTCAAGGCCAGCCCACCTTACATAGAAAACCTTACTATATAGCAAGACTGTCTCAAAAACAACAACAAAAAAGGAATTATATATACTTGACTGATAAGGAAATGGGTATATAAGTAATATCTATTTAGCGGTTTATTACATACCTTGCAGAAGTTTGTTATTGGTTGTTTTAGTCTTCTTACCGTTTTCGCTTTTTGGAGGGTCCACTACTCAACTTTTAAATTAATCACACATGGAGTCTTATTCTTTCTTATAAATCCCCAACCTTAGCTTGGCTTGTTTCTAGCCAGATTTTCTTAATTACTTTTTTATGTTAATTAATTTTTAAAAACGATCTTTTCTCATTTTACTTGCCTATTCCATTTCTCACTCCCTTCCGCCCATCCACTCCTCAGAGAGGGTAAGGCTTCCCATGGAAAGTCAACAAAGTCTGACACATCACTTTGAGGCAGAACCAAGTCCCCCGCTCCATATTTAGGTTGAGCAAGGTATCCCTCCAAAGAGAATTGACTTTGAAAAGCCATTTCAAGCAGTAGAGATAAGTCCTGGTCTCACAGCCAGTGAGCTCACAGACTGCCCCAGCCACACAACTGTCCCCACATTCAGAGGGCCTAGTTTGGTCCTATGCAGGTTCCCCCACTATCAGTCCAGAGTCAGTGAGCTCCCACTAGCTCAAGTCAGCTGTTTCTGTGGGTTTACCCATCATGGTCTTGACCCCTTTGCTCATATTGTTGCTCCTCCCTCTTCAAATGAACTCTGAGGGCTTGGCCCACAGCTTTGTGGATCTCTGCATCTGCTTCCATCAGTTACTGGATGAAGTTTCTATGATGACAATTAAGGTAGTCATCAATCTGACTACAGGGCAAGGCCAGTTCAGGCACTGTCTCCACTATTCCTTAGGGTCTTAATCTGGAGTCATCCCTGTGGATTCCTGGGAATTTCACTGGTGCCAGGTATCATGGTAGCTCCATAATGGCTCCCTCAGTCAAGATATCTCCCATTCCCAGGGAGATCCATATATGTCTCTCTTAGGGTTCTCCTTGTTACCTAGCTTCTCTGGAGTTGTGTACTATATAGCAAGATATTTTTAGCTTAAATTATCCCATCTATCTTTTCCCTCGGGCTTTTACTTTCTTTATTTCTGTATACTTTTCTTTGCTTCTTTCTTCATGACTTGCTGGGTGGCTGGTCCCTGATGTCCTCCTCTCCTTGTTCTATCTTGCTCCTTCTTATCCCCATCCAGATTTCTCCTCCTATCTATTCTCTCTGCCTGCCAGCCACACCTATCTTTTCTCCTGCCTTCCTATTGGCCATTCGGCTCTTTATTAAACCAATCTGATGTTTTAGACAGGCAGAGAATCACAGCTTTACAAAGTTAAACAAATGCAACATAAAAGAATGAAACACATCTTTGCATCATTAAATAAATGTTCCATGGCATGAATAAATTAACATATCTTAAAATAATATTCCACATCCAAAGTTGCTTTAGAAAAAACATTTAGTGATATAAAAATATAGATAGCAAGTGTGAAAAGCAGCACAAACAAGAGAATTGCGTACTGTGAAATGCATCCCTCCTTCAAAGTCTCAAGGACCTTTTAGGAGGGGTGGGAAGATCTTAAGAGCCAGAAGTCGTGGATGACTTTAGGGAAACAATGTTTTACAGACAGAACAGTTACACATATGAACTCACAGAGGATGTATGACAGTGTGCATAAGACCCATGCAGGCTCAGGCCAGATAGAATCCTAACATGGAGGTAGGGAAGGTGGACACGGAGTCCTACTATTAGCTGAGGCGCTGCTGGCCTTTGATAGGTGCTGGGAGAGGGAGAGTCAGCTTTTTTAATGGTTTGACTCCTACCAGATCAACACACCAGAGTTGGGTAAAACAGCCTAGGCTTGATGGTTGAAGGTGAGAAGAGGAAAAGAGAGAACGCAAACATCCACAAAGTTGGGTGGATAGGGAGTGGGGACGAGGTATGAATAAGATCAAAATATATTGTATGGAATTCTCAAAGAATTAATAGAAATATAAAGAAATACTGTGAAATGTTACCAGGAAGTTTAGAGATGACCAATACAAATTATAACACTAATTACCAAAAGTAGACTTCAGCATAAAACCAAATAAATTTGACCTCAACATGAGTGGCTAGAAAGATACTCAATGGTTTCAAATTGCACACACAGTGCTAATAGTGCTTATTTTCTGGTTTAATTCTGAATGACTTTCACTTTTAAGCTTTTGGGGTTTTGGGCATTTTCTCAGTGTTTTACTCACTAGTTAGGCTGTTCTCACATTTCCAGCTAGCCTAAGTTTTAGGCAAACTTCAAGAAGCCACAGCATGTGTGTTAGAAGGCTATTCTAAATAGGCTATTGTGTACTAATTGTGGTCTATTGGATTACTTTGTTCTTTTGTAACCTCAATGTACCTGTAATTCAAATACCAGCGGTGACAAAGGGTGATTTGCTTGATTGTCCATTGTATGTAGCACTGGTGACATTCAAAACATTAAGATAATCCAGTAATTATCCACCTCTAGCAAAAGAAAAAAATAATCTCTTTAGTTGTAGTTGTATTAATTGGAACAGTATATCATTGTTTGGCATTAAAACTGAAAAATCCACATTGTGTAGCAGCTTTTACTGTGGTGCTTTGGTTTGGCGTCCCAGCTAGTCTAAATTCCCTACCCAACCCCTCACCTAAAGCTCAAATCCTTCTTTCTAAACAGTTAGCATTCTCTGACATACCAAATACGCCTTCACACTTATTTCCTGGGGTTTTCATTGGAAAACTCTCATTTCATGGGATTATCCTTTTAGGGAGTGCCATATTACTTGATTCTAGCCAAAGCTGGTATGACTGAATAATTTGATTTTCAGACCATATTATTGAGTGGGCCGGAGCATGGTCTGAACTATTAACAAAACTTTTCACATAGTGGATGTTATATAAAGAGATTAAGCATGCCTAATTCAGTATCCAAAGATGATTGTTCCCTGTTTTCTGTCAGTATTAAGTCTGGAGACAATGATTATACAATTCCTGAATTCTAACTAGTGTTACCAAAAATCTTGCAGTAATAATTATTTTTATATTTTGAAGGTGCCAAATCAATCATTCAAGAATTTCCAGAGATCACAATTTTAACTACTGAAGTTCATCCTGTTGCACCTACACATTTTGGACAGAAATACTTTGGAACAGACTAAGTTGTTAAAGGAAGATGAAGTGCTTTGCATAATATTATGGTTGTAAATGAATTTCATACTTGTTTTTTATTAATTTGAGAAATAATGGAGAAAATACATTAGGAATGCCTTTTAACATTGGAAGTAGGTGTAGTAACAAGAAATATAGGAAGTTTATGTTTGATTTGATCATTTCTTCCCATGTGGTACCAAAATCAACAGTGAAGCACACCCACAGTGCTTAGAAAGATGGAAATTGTAATCATCTGCTCATGGAGTGCACGCAAACTGTCGAACTTGTGACCCTCTTGGTTTGGAGGTTGCTTGCAGCTGCAAAAAAACCCAAACTAGAGTTAGTTCTTTGGCCTACTGCAGTTTACATTTGCTTTACTGTGTTTTTAAAAAGCTCTAGGGTGTTTTTCTGTATGTGGCTGTTGTTGCCCTCTGTACTCTAGACTTCCTTGTACTATATGCACAGGCATCTTGGAAAAGAGAGAACAAGAATATATCCTGGAATTTTATATTGCCGTTAATGTCCTCACTTACTTTTCAGATCTAGGATGTCTGGTTAACTCTTCAGATAAACTGTTGTGTTCCTTATATAGATCATTTCCCAAACTGGGGGTTGAGGGAAGGTGCTTGCCAAACTGTAATACAGTGAGAACGTTGGCAGGGCCTTGACAGTTTCTGGATCTGTAACATGGATGAATGTACAGGGACCGAACCATGGATGCCTGATGCTGACAAGAGAGAGCTACATCAGCCCTGCACAGGGAATTGGGGATTCTTTCCGAGGTGTGCAGGAAAGTGTAGAGGCTTTGCTGCATTTTGTGGCCAATAAGTAAATCAGCACGGTTCTTTTTATTTAGTTGTTTCTACTAGTTGTTTTCGGTTTGGAGCTTAGTTATTTTGCATGTTTTACAGCTATAGCTATATTAAAGTAGAGGAAAAAAAACAATGTTCTTTAAAAATATATGAGGTTTGTATGTGCTCATATCTAAGCTTCTGAAAGGGAGAGAAACAATATGAGACTCAATTTTTGCACTTTTGAAATGTGCTTGTAAAACCCCATCCCATTTTATGTTGATGTTAAAACTTGTGACTGTGGCTTCTACTTGATTACTTGCATAATTACATGCTCATGGCCCCACAGACAGCTGCTGTGGGGTTCTGTTCAAAAGCATACAATTGAGCAGAAGGTAGATTCTTAAGGGAGAGCTAAAACTGAAAAAACAAATCAGCCGGGCGGTGGTGGCGCACGCCTGTAATCCCAGCACTCGGGAGGCAGAGGCAGGCGGATCTCTGTGAGTTCAAGACCAGAGCTAGTTCCAGGACAGGCTCCAAAACCACAGAGAAACCTTGTCTCGAAAAAACAAAAAAAAAAAAAAAAAAAAAAAATCAGTGAGGGTCAGGGAAGGAAAGCACCCTTGAGTAGACTGACTGGATTTTACCTTGGGATTCTAGACTACTAGGGCTCACTGTACTTTTACTTTTGTTGTTGTTGTTGTTGTTTGTTTGTTTGAGTCAGGGTTTCTCTCTGGTAGCCCTGGCTGTCCTGGAACTTGCTCTGCAGACCAGGCTGGCCTTGAACTCAGAGGCCTGCTTCAGGCTCCAGAGTGCTGGGATTAAAGGTGTGCACCACCTTTCCCAGCTGCCAGTTTTATTTGCATTTGTTAGTTAGGTGGCCCAGGAATGATGTGGGTAGAAAATTCAGATGGGCCAGATCTGTTGACATCATTCTCGCATTGAATCAGTTGCAAAGATGATGCCAGATGTGGAAGAGCATTCCTGTCACCCCAGCATTGAGGAAGTTGAGGGAGGAGGATTTTGTGTTTGAGGGTAGCTTAAGTAACTGAGCCAGATTTTATCTCAATTTTTTTTTTTTTTTTTTTTTTTTTTTTTTTTGCCTGCCAAACCTGAGAATTGCTGCAACTGAATTGAATTGGTGCTTCTTTGGGCTGCAGTATTTTGTTTGAAGTGCTTTCCAGAATTTGAGATAATTTCATGTCCAACTTTAGGCGTGAAACCATATTTCAAGCAAATTCTTTTTTGTTTTGAAAGATGATCTTCTGTAGCCCAGGCTGACTTTGAACTTTCCGTGTAGTCAACTCTGCCCTTGCCTCATTGATGAAAGGCTTACAACCTGCAGGCCCAGCTTAAACAAATTCTTTTTATCTCATTAACCATTTAGATCCAAATGTCTGTTGCTTTTCAGCAATGAACATGACTAAAAGTTAACTACATTTGATTCCCATGTGGGAAGCCTAGTATAAACAGTAGGAATTATTCAATAAGGTCATATTTCCCACTGATGCTTGTACTCTACACTCCTGCAGATATAACAATGGTCTCTGAATTTTGGAATGTTTTAGCAAATAAACTCTTACTTGCAGTGTTAATCACTTGCAGTACTCTATTTTCTAAAGTCAACATAAGATTAACAGACTACTAAAAGTAAGATTGACCTTAGTGACATGAACTTCAGAGCAGTATAAATTGTGTAGGTTCTTTATTGAAGAATAAAGACTAGAGCAAAACCAACATGCAAATAACACATAGCAGTAATTCTCAAGGTATGACATGCATCAAAATTGCTTAGAGGGCTACAGATTGCTGGACCCCATCCCTACAGTTTCTGATTCAACGTCTTGATTTCCAACATTTTTCCTTTTTGTAATATAAACATTAATTTTAATGATATAAAACTTCCTATAAAGATTTAGCTGTTTTTTTTATATGTTTTCATTTTCATTCAGGTAAAAATATTTTCTCATTTTCTTTTTATTTCCCCAACCCAGGGTCATTTAAAATCATCAACAAATTGCAAATATTTGTGCAATTTCTCCATATTTTTCTTTGATACTGTTTCCTAATTTAATTCCATTTTGGTGAGAGAATATAATTGTTATGTTTGAATCCTTTTAATTTATGAGGGTTTTGGAGATAGGATCTTGTCCATAAATTATTGTTATTTGGTAAGTCTTCCATGCTTTCTTGGAATGCATGCATATCCTGTATTGTTTACTATGAATGTCAGGTTATGTTCATTGATAAAGCTGTTCAAGTTTTCTACTCCTTGACTGATTTTTTTTCTGTCTACTTGTTCTATTGATTATTAGAAGGATATTGAAAGCTCAGATTGAAGTGTTGTATTCGTTTTTTTTTTTCTTTCAGTTCAGTGAAGGTTTTGCTTTGTGTATTTAGAGTACTCTTGTTAGGTACAGACTGTTAGAATTGCAGTAGTCTCTTGATAATATGACCCTTTGCCATTCAGAAATGTTTTGTTTTGTACTTGTTAATACTCTTTGTGCTGAAATCTGTTTTAGCTGATGGTACTAACAATTCCACTTTTCTTTGGACTAGCTTTACTTTTAACATGGTTGTATTTCATCTGAATTTCTTATAGGCAGCTTTAGGGCTGTGTCTTGCTTTTTAAAACATCCAGTTTGACAGTGTCTGCCTTTTGGTGCAGTGTTTAGATAATTTTCATGTCATGTAATTATTGGCCTGATTGGTTTTAGATCTCCAACTTGCTCTTTGCCTTCTATTTGTTCTTTATTTACTTTTTCTTCATTTTCACCTTCTTTTGGATTGAGTATTATTCATGATTCTACTTTATGTCTTGATGACATTTGTGTCAACTCTTTCCACTAAGTCTACCCTCCAGGACATTGACCCAGTCCCTTCCCCTCTTTTTGAGGAATCGTCTCTCTATTATGTAGCTCTGGCTGTTCTGAAATTTACTGTGTAGACCAGGCTGTCCTCAAACTTATAGTGCTGGGACTAAAGGCATGTACCACCACACTTGGCAGCCCAGTCTCCCATAAAGGGAGACTGTTCTGTATTTTTCTGAGCATCTACATTTAATATAGCAGTTATATAGCAGATAAGTTATAGAAATAATAACATGAGTATATCCAACATTTGGAGGTTTTCATGTAAAATATAAACAAACTTGAAGCGGTTAATCCATCCTATAAAGCCATTATATACACCTCCATATTTTTATATTAATATGATTATTTTCCCTTTGTCTTATTTGAACTTTATGATAAGCTTATATTAAACTGCTTATCATTTGTTAGCTATATCTAGTTTCTCCTCATGTCAATCATTTTCTACTGATATCATGTCTTAAAGAAACTTAAATTGTTCGATACATATAATTATCCATGCATTCTGTGACCTGTTTAATGTACTTGAACTTCACCAGCAACACTCACCTTCCACTGTATCATGCAGAAGTTGTTTTACCTACAGGTCACTGAAATACCATTATACTTTCCCCCAAATAATTGGCTCTTAACCATGTGCCAGATGTTCTTAGGGAAAGATGACGTCGCAGCTCAGCTGGATTTATGTCCAGGTTCCAAGTCAGTATATTAGTGTATTTGTGCTGTTGTAACAAAATACCAGACTGAATGGTTTTAACAACAGAAATAGTTTTGGAGGCAGGCCACATGTCCACAATCAAAGTGTTGATATGTTTGTGTACTTTTCAGAAGCCTCTCTTTCCACGGTCTTCCACCTGTATGTATGTCCTTGGTGTTTCTTTGTGTGTTCAGATTTTCTCTTCATATGATCATAGTCAGATTGTATTAGGGCCTATTCAATGGCCTTGTTTTAACCAAATCACTTCCTTAAAAGCCCTAGCTCCAATATAGTCACAGCCTGAGGTATTGGGGATTAGAGCTTCAATATGGATGGAGGGGGCACATAATTGTAGTGACGAAACTAGTCATTGTCTTCCAATCCACAGGCTTTTGCTGAGACTGTTTCCATGTGTGTTATGTGGCAGGGCCTGTTTTTTCTTTGTTATTATTACTTTTTTGAGATAGGATTTCACTATATAGCCCTGCTTACTATGCAGACCAGGCTGGCCTCAAACTCACAGAGATCCACCTGCTTCTGCCTCCGAAGTGGTGAGATTAAAGGTGTGCATTGTCACTCCTGGCAGGGCAGGATTCTTATGGCAAATCTAAGGGTGTAATTTAGAATTATTTCTACTTCTGCTGTGAAATCAGGTGCAACTTCCTTTGCTCCATTCTTGGGGTGAGAACAAGTAAGTGCATATTAATATAAGTTGTTTTGACCTTCAGAGAACTTATAAATTTGGAGGCTTATAGGAATTCCACAAGTGTTGATATGTCATTGCCTATATGAAGGGCTATATCTGGGTCAGGTTCCAACTATTTTAAATTGTTCTAAAGACCCTATTTGTTCGTGATACAAGCCTTTACCCAGCTGTGAGTCCTAACACTGTCCAGCTTGATTCAAGGAATCTGCCTGGCCCAGGTTGCTAAACCCTTACCATCTTTTCAGGCTGATTCCTTTCCTTTTCTTGTCTTCTGGAAGAGTGACCCTTTGGCTCTTCTAGTCCACTTGACTCACCATTCTCTTGTGAATGCCATTCTTTAATAGGAAACTCACTTTGCTCCAGCAGTCACACTACTGAGTATGTAAACAGAGAGAATGAAATTATCAGGCTGCAGAGACATTTGCACTCCCATGTTCATTGCAGCAGTATTGTCAATAACTAACCATTAGGAACAGCCAAAGTGTATGTCAGTGATGAATGTATCAATAAAGTATAGTACATTTGTACAATGGGATGCTATTCAGCCATGCATAGGAATGATTTTGTGACAAAATTGGATGGAACTGGAGATTATGTTAAGTGAGTGAAACTGTGAAGCTGTATGACTTCTACTGTGTGGGATCTGATGACAACTAATCTTGTGCAGGTTGACAGTAGAGCACTTGTTACCAAAGTTTGGGGAGGGATGGCTGAATGAGGAAAGGCTGAACAAGTGTCACTAAGTTATAGTTACTTAGATAGAAGAAAGTTCTGCTGTGCTATTACATAGTAAGGGTGTCTGTAGATCATCATTAATGTACTATACATAAAAAATTAGAAAATATTTTGTTAAGTTTTTAACATGAAGAAGTAATAATGAGGAAAAAGATGAACATGATTTAAATTTATATAATGTATACATGTACTGAAATATCATGGTATCCCATTAATATGTACAAATTTTGTTTTTATGGATCACTTAAAATAAATTTAAATAAATGAAAAATAATAACGCATGCTGTCTTTCTTTTTTCTTAAGAAAAGGTCTTACTCTGGAGCTCAGACTATCCTTGCATCACTACATAGCTTAGAGCAACCTCAAACTCACAACAATCCTTCTACCGAGCCTTCCTGGCAGTTTGGTGCCTAAGCTGGTACCTGTTTCTCACATAGCTCTCTTCTGTCCTGTGGACCATTGTCTAATCCACCAGGCATGTTGTTGCCATTGTAATTGCCTTAGCACGATTAGAAAACATGTTTTGTACCCACAGATACTGCATCTCCCTACTAAGATTATGTGGATGGTAGTCATGCTTGGAAATAATTTATTCTCGGATAAAGAAAATATGGTACATTTGTGCAATGGACTGTTACTCAGATGTTAAAAACAATCACATCATGAAATTCTCAGGCAAATGAGTGGAACTAGGAAAAAAATCATCCTGAGTGAGGTAACCCAGACCCAGAAAGACAAACATTTACTCACTCATAAGAGATTATTAGTTGTAAAGTAAAGGATAACCAACCATACTACAATCCACAGCCCCAAAGAGGCTATATTAGTGACTACCCAAGTTGTCATCAGAAAGCCTTCATCCAGTAACTGATGAAAACAGATGCAGAGACTCACAGCCAGCCACTGGACTGAACTCAGGGAATCTTGCTGAAGAGAGGGAGGAAGGATTGTATCAGGCAGGCCAGGGAACCTGCATGGGACCCATGTAGACCATCTACATATGCGTGATAGTTGTGTAGCTTGTGAGACTCCTAGCAATGGGATCAGGGAATGTCCCTAATGCCTTGGCTAACTTTTGGGAACCTAGTCCTCATTCTGGGTTGCCTTGTTCAACCTTAATAAAAGGGGAGGAGTTTAGTCCTACCTCAGTTTGATATGCCATGCTTTGTTGATACCCATAGGAGGTCTGCCCCTTTCTGAATAGAAACAGGAGTGGATTGGGAGGAAAGGTGGGAGGAGGGGATGGGAGGAGAGAGGGAGGGGAAATTTTGGTTGGGATGTAAAATAAATGAATAAATTTAACTAGTAAAAAAAGAAACACAAAAAAAGAAAAATAATTTATTCTCTCTTTTTCTTTGGTGTTCCACCTAAGATCCTCTTGTCACTATGCGCCATAGCCATCCAGCCTGGTGTCACTTGTATTTTAAGAACAATACTTAGAGACTCACTTCTGCCAGGGCATCGGACTTGGGACAGAAGGCACAAGTTAATGAATTCCCACTTCATGTTCACGTGGTGTTAAATAAATGTGAGGAACTCTCCTCTAAAGCCCTCGAGGGCCACTTGTACTTATGCCAACAAATACGTGGGAAAGAGTTGTGGCAAGGATGGCTTTCATATCTAAGTGAGGCGCCATCTTTACATGTCATTTTCACCAACAAGATGTCCTGTGCTGAGTTTAACAGGCTCCACACAGGTATGTGTATGCCTTTTGGCAGCTCCAGGACTCCTTGGCAAGGTCATCATGTCTATCCACACCAAGCCACAGATTAAGGAACCTGGAATCGACGCTATGTGGAGAGCTAAGTTCAAGCTCCCTGGCCACCAGGAGATCCACATCTCAAAGATGTGGGGCTTCACCAAGTTTAATGCAGATGGATGAAAAGACATAGTAGCTGAGAAGTGGCTCACTCCTGATGGCTGTGTGGTCAAATATATCCTCAATTGCAGTACTCTGGACAAGTAGCCAGTCCTGCACTCTTGAGGTCTAAATCTTACGTCCAGTCAAAAACAAAAAGAAACAATTTATTCTGCATAAGCTATAGAGACTCCTGCCTAACCTTTCTTGTCTCAAGGTAGTCATTTCCCATGGGAATTTGAGCTAAGCAATAATACCTTCTGCTTTAGACCTTTCATGAACACATTGTCTCAATCTTTTTAAAGATTCACCATATTTTTAATTATGTATATGTGTGCCTTTTTGTGTGGATATGTGCTCATGAGTGTGTGACCACGGAGTTCAGAAGAAGGCTTCAAATCTTCTGGAGCTGGAGAGAGGCAGATGTGAGCTGTCCAGTGTTGTCTTGAGAACCGATCTTAGGTCTCCTTCAAGAACAGTACATGCTTGTATTCACTGAACCATCTCTTTAGCCTCCAACTCTGTTTTAATAACTTTAAATCTGCAGAAACAAGGGTGATTTGTATATATGCACAGAACGCTTTGACATCACAGGCAATGACTGTATTCTTAATAGCTAAAGATCTTTTTAAGTAGTGATCAAAGTCGATAGTTATTCAGCTGTCAGTCTATCCATTGTATATTGCATAGTTTGATGACTAGACCGGAAGTAATTTTCTGGAAGTTCATTCTCAAATGATAACCTCTGTAGTAGATGTAACTTGGAAAAAAAGCCTTCGGAGGTACCTGGTACCAAGCCTAGGGCCTAATGACACGGTAGGCTAGTGATCTACCAACCTATAGGCCAACCCCTATAACCTGCTTTTTAAAACTAAAACCACACAGGTTTGTTTATAGCGCTCCTTCATAGCTGTTATTATTTGAATCTGAAATAACCTTTATAAAGACAATTTTAAAAATTAACTTATTTCTATAGTTTTCATACAAATAAATACTATATGTTGAAAAAATATCCCCATCCATGTCCTCATCCCACTTTTGCCCACCTGTTACATGATATTTTGTTTGTGTTCTGACAAAGCTTGCCTGGTGATCAGAGGTCAGAGGTAGCCACTAGTTAACCATAAAAGCTGAGCACTCATGGCTCATGCCCTTAGTCCCAGCACGCAGGAGTTGGAGACAGGAAGTGAAAAGGTGGGGTGTAGACAGGACCTCAGCCCTTTTGGACTGAGGAATGAGAGAGGAAGGAAGCAACTGACGGCTGCTCCTCTCTGCTTCTCTGATTTTTCAGGTTTTATCCCGATATCTGATTCTCGGTTTTTATTGATTAAGATTGATTAGATTTACACTTCACCCAGTCATCCTCCTGTCAGTCATTTCCACTTCTGTTTTCCTGTCATATATACTTGATTTTACATGCCTGCATTTTGAATGCTTGTTCCCCAAGTGGAGGTGCTCTTTTGAGGGGCAATGGAAGCCTTAGGAGGTGGAGTCTAGCTAGTGACAACAGGTTGCTGGGGCAGGCCTTTCAAGATTACGTGTAGCCTAGCTTCCAGTCACAGCTGCTTTCTGTTTTACTGATCTCCTGGGATGTGAGGAATCGCTACAACATACTCCCATAACCATGAATTCTGCCATACCTTCTTTATCACAGTGGATGACTGGGGATTGAACCCAGGACCTTGCCGTGTAGTAGGCTAGTGATTTATCAGTGAGCGGTAGCCTCGGGCCTACAGTTGATTATAACCATAGGAAGGAACGTCACATTCATTGACTGTTGACTCTCAGTGACAGCAGTAGCAATCTGAGTCTATCTAGCAAGTGCTTTCCTTTCAGGCCATAATTACCTTGTAGAGTTGCACCAATAGAGACTCACTGGGAGTTCTTAGCCACCAGGCAATGGAGCTACATTCTTGGTGAGTCCAAATTTTATAAGATCGGATGAAATTAAAATTTATCCCATTAAGCCCTTACAAATTGTGGCCTAAAAGTTTAATGATATAATTGCGGTAGTTCTTTCTGCATCCCCGAGGGATGAACTGTAAGACTGCGGTGGATGGCTGTAAACTGGGATAATACCAAACCACGAACTCCATTCCTTTCTATCTCAGTCAAGCACTCTTCATGCTGTGCCCATAGTTTTTGCAGTTTGAGGTGTGACTGCAAAATCAACACAAATTTCTTTCTCCTTCGTTGCGATTTCATGGGTGGAGATTCATTCTTACCGCGGGTCTTAGCAGCTTCAGAATACTTCATTGTTGTTTTCTTAAGCCAGAACTTCTGCATTTTCACTTAAAGGAAGCACTTTATCTAAACTTTTCTTTGGCATAGCCAAAGTGAAAGTATCTCTACTTTAGTACTTAGGAACGATTATTAAGTAAAATAAGTGTTAATCAAAATTGAGCACTCTGATACTGGTTATGAAAATAATTACTAGTGACTAAATTAGTGGTTGGTATATGCAGCATGGAAACACTGAACAAAGCAATGATTCACTTCTTGGAAAAGCAAAGTAAAATGGAATGAGTTTATCACAATATTTATAACTTCACATTTCTTTTTATTTTAATGTATTATTAACATTTTATCTTACATTCCATCCATAGTTCTCCCTCCACCCAACCCCTTCTCCTGCCCCACCCTACCTTCCCCCAGTCCATCTCCCATCCACCTCTCCCAATGGGTAAGGGTTAACTGCAATTTTCAATTCTTTTTTTTCTTATATTTATGTGTGTCGTACTGTAGTATAGTACTGAGGGTTGAAAACAGTGCCCTGTGCATAGTAGGAAAACAATTTACCATTGACCCATAGCCTAGAACAAATATAAAAGTTTGTGTTATGGACTCTCAATTTTACTTCATTACCCTTTGTTTGTATCCTTATGCTAATTTTGATTACTGGGGTTTTGTAATACAGCTTGGTATCAGAAAGTGAGTTCTCTTACTTTGCTATTCCTTTTCTTCATTGTCTAGCCTTGTAATTCGTTATGCATTTTAGGACTCAGAAGAGGCATTGGGATTTTGATAGAGATTCCAATGAAGCCATAGGTCACTTTGGGTAATAGTGACATCTTACTATTAAGTTTTCTAATCTATGGACATGGAGAATCTTCCCACTTACTTGTCTTCTTTGCCTTTTTTTTTTGATACAATGTTTTGTGATTTCTATGCCATAAGCTTTTATCTCCTTGGTTCAATTTACATTTAAACATTGAAAGCCTTTTATAATATTCTAAATGGATTTTTCTTGATTTTCTTTTAATTTATTCATTGCTAGTGTATGTATAAAAATGCTAGGATTTTGTGTGTTGACTTTATATTCTGCAATTTTGCTGAATTCGTTTAATAATTTTCATTTTGAGTATATGTTCATTAGGATTTTTCCATATACAATGTCATGTCATCAATGGACAGG